AAAAAGTTAATCTTTAATAGATGATAGATTCAGGGCCCACAATTTAAACAATTTCAAGTATTTATTTTTACATAATTTAGGTTTCCAGCTCATGAAATTCACAAAAACAGGATTAAAAAAAATTAGAATCTGTGAAGACATCAGTCTTGATGCGACGTGGGATTGAGGCAATCGGCCTGTGGCATTCCCTGGGAGTTATGGAAGCCCAGATTTCCTTGATGCTTGCTGTCAGCTCTTCTTTGTTGTTGGGTCTGGTGCCCCTCATTTTCCTCTTGAGAATACCCCAGCTAGCAAGCGAATGTTCTGACGATGTTCAGTATGTTCTCTCTCTGTTATCCATTCATGTCTAGATTCTCAATGGGGTTTAGGTCCGGTGAATTGGCTGGCCAGTCAAGCACTGTGGCATGGGCATGAAACCAGGTTTTGGTGCTTCTGGCGGCATGGGCAGGGTCCAGGTTCTGCTGGAAGATGAAATCTGCATCTCCATACAGATCCTCAGCAGAAGGAATCATGAAGTCATCTAAAACATTCTGTTAGACTGTTGTGGTGACCTTGGATTTAAGAAAGCTTTACCAAAACCTGCACCAGACATTGCACCCCAAATCATGACTGTCTGTGGATATTTCACAATGGACCTCAAGCAGTATGTGTTCTCTTATCCTGATGCATGCTCACAGCACCTCAGACTGAGGAAGTCTCTCGGATGAGAGACTAAACGTTTCTACATTTTTTGTTGTTGTTTTGCTTTGTTTTGTTTTTTTGAATGTCCAGAGGACCAGATTTAACTTTTTTAGATATGTGTTCTCTTTCTCACTCTTCTTCCTCCAAACCCTTGGACCTTGATTTCTGAATGAAAGGCATACTTTACTTTCATTGGAAAAGAGGACAGAGGAACCCGACAGTTGTAGCCCATCTCCTGGATGTGTCTAAATGTGGTTTTTGAAGCTGTAACTCCCGCCTCATTCCACTCTTTCTGGATCTCTGTCAGATTCTGGAATCTTCTCTGTTTGATAATTTGCTGAAGCACGGTCATCTCTTTTGCTGGTGCATCTTCTGCCACATTTTGCCCTTCCACTAGACTTTCCATTGATATGCTTGGACACAGCACTCTGTGAACAGCCAGCCTCCTTGGCTATGAACTTTTGTGGCTTACCCATCCTATGGAGGGTATCATTGATGGTCTTCTGGCCAGTTGTTATGTCTGCAGTCTTCCCCATATTGAACCGAACTGAGACAATTGAACCAAACTGAAGCAATTTAATGACACCTGGGGGAACCTGTGCAGGTGCTTTGAGTTTAGTAGATGATTAGTGTCACACTCAGTTTAAAACATTCGTGCCCTGCAACATTTGGGCTGATTTCTCCACAGTATTCTAATTTTTTGAATTCCTGTTTTCGTGGGTTTCATGAGTTGGAAGCCCAAATTATGTAAAAATAAACAAATAAATACTTGAAATCATTTAAACTGTGGGCCCTGAATCTATCATTTATTAAAGATTAACTTTTTGAATGGAATTATGGAAGTTAAACAACTTTTCCATGATATTCTATTTTTTGGGAAGGGTCTGTATATATAATATAGATATAATTGTGTGTGTATGGGAGAATATATATATATATATATATATATATATATATATATATATGAGATTTGTATATATAAAATAGATATAATGTATATATAAGGTAGCGTAAGATAGTGATATTATAATGTGTGTGTATATAAGAAAATTATTAAAGTGTTTATATATGACAGTGATATAATGTGTGAGGAGCCAGTTGAGGTGGCTTGGGCATCTGTTTAGGATGCCTTCTGGACGCCTCCCTGGTGAGGTGTTCCAGACACGTCCCACCGGGAGGAGACCCAGAGGAAGACCCAGGACACGCTGGAGGGACTATGTTTCTCGGCTGGCTTGGGAACGCTTCGGGATTCACCCGGAAGAGCTGGACCAAGTGGCTGGGGAGAGGGAAGTCTGGGCCTCCCTACTTAGGCTGCTACCCCCGCGACCCGACCCCGGATAAGCGGAAGAAAATGGATGGATGGATAATGTGTGTATGTATATATGATAGAGATGTTTGTGTGTGTGTGTGTATATATATATATATATATATTAATAAAAATGTATCAGTGACTGTGAGTTTTGCAAAACTAGTCATAAGAACTTTTTTCTTTGTTGAAATCAGGTATCTCTTGTAAATGAGTCCTCGGGGCTCAATGGGATTAACCTGTCTATATAAAGGTTGAATTAATTTTATTGGTGTTAATGTTAACCCCACCAAGAATATTTAAATACTTAACCATGTGTTCAGCTTTAATGGCTGTAGGCCTAAGATTTTTTTTTTTTCATTTAGCCTTTATTTATACAGGTTAGTCTCATAGGGAAAAAATCGTAAGAATGAGTTTAGTAATCAGTGAGCTATGACTGATTAAACGCGCAGATACTTCTTTGCGCCTGCTAAACAGGTTACACTGAGTAGAGCGGGGGACCGTTCCAAGATGGCGACACAACAGCTCATCAGCGCCAATAGCGGTCAATGAGGGATCTAGCTTTTGGTCTCCATGGCCTCCCTACTGTCTTCATAGACCAAGACTGCCGCCATTTTGAAAAACCAACTGTTCACAGCACACCCGTCCTGAGCGCAGGAACTATGCCGCGGGGCCGGCCTCGCAAACTCAACCTAGACAGGGAGGACAAGCCAGGTAAACAAGTACCAAAATGCAATAAATAAATAATACAGGATGTGGGCTATCCAAAAAGCACGGTGTTATTGAGCGAAGCATTCCCGCAGCCAATATAAAAACACTTGAACGTAGCGCATATAGTCCCCGGATATAGTACTGCGGGTGGGCTTTGCTTTTGTACGGCGAGGCGGAATGATATTAATAACGTTTCCGTAGCTCTTCTTATTGGCTTCCAGTCGAAATTAGCGTCCGCTTCGAGAGGAGCTGCGGTGCTGCCTGGCGTTAGTCAAGGTTCGCCGATTTTAAACAGGTTTTATGAGTTTATTAGGAAGTGGTTGTTGCTAACTAGCTGGCTTTACCGCTGTTAGCTTCACGCTTAGCACTGTTTGCCTTTGTTTTGGTCCGTAGGAGCTCTGGTGGATTACAGTCCGAACTAGATGTTTCTGTCCTACGCAAGAGGCACATTTAGCTATTTTGTCCTCACTGAAATAAAATATTATAGTTGGAGACTGTTTTGGGTTTTAACTCACAAGAGAGGCATTTGTAAGAGTTTGTTGGTGGAGCTGAAGCAACATAACCCAGAAATTAAGAGTGAATAACAAAAAATAAGAGTTTCCCCTTCCAGTCTGCAACTTGTTGTCTGAAAGATGTTCATAACTATGACAGACAGTATTAATTAAAAAGCTGAGCGGGTTAACGCTGATGCATATGATGTTAAACCCATACATTGCCTTGTTCAATTCAGTTCATTTGTATAACGCCAAGTCAAAACAAGTCGTCTCAGGGCACTGAACAGAAACATCCATTTATAAAAATAATTAAGACTATCTGAGGAGCAGCTTTGAATTTAACTCCATCACAGACTCTCATCTTGAGCAAGCATGAAGGCGACAGTGGGAAGGAACAACTCCCTCATGAGAAAGAAACCTTTAGCAGAACCAGACTCAGGACAAGCGACCATCTGCTTCTACTGGCTGGGTTTGAGAGGAACAGATACACAATGGCAGGTCAAGAATCACATGTTAAGATAGAAATAATATCAAATGAAAACTATTCAATTGTAACAATTCGTTTAAGGGAATTAGGTGTCCTCCAGTAGTCTAAGCCTAAAACAGCATGACAAGACGACCCTAATTATAGGATTTATCAAAATGGAAAGTCTTTAAACTGGACAATGTGTCAGCCTCACGGACAGAAACTGGAAGTTGGTTCCACAAGAGAGGAGCCTGATAACTGAAAGATCTTCTTCTCATTCTGCTTTTGGAAACTCTAGGAACCATGAGTTAAACCTGCAGTCTGAGAGCGAAGTGCTCTGTTAGGAAAATATGGAACAATAAGATCTGTAATATAAGATGGAGCTAGGTTGTTGAGAGCTTTGTAGGTTAGAAGTAAGATTTTGAATTATATTCTGGATTTGACAGGGAGCCAATGGAGAGAAGCTAAAACTGGAGAGAGATGATCTCTCCCACTAACTCCAGTTAAGACTCTGGCAGCAACATTTTGGATTAACTGAAGACTTTTTAAAGAAGTATTTGGACACCCAGATAACAAATCATTGCAATAGTCCAGTCTTGATGTGACAAATGCATGGACCAGTTTTTCTGCATCATTTTTAGATACGATGTTTCTAATTTTAATATTATGGAGTTGGGTCATCATGGCAGACCTCTTCTTTGGTGATTCCAAGGTGGTAGATGAGAGACATGGTCTCGCCATCATATCCTGGGTCTTCCCTGGTGTCTCCTTCCATTTGGACATGCTCAGAACACCTCCCTAAGGAGGCGTCCAGATGCCTGAACCACCTCACATGGCTCCTCGAGGTGGAGGAGCAGCGACTCTACTCCATCTCCTGGAGAGCTGAACTTCTGTCTCTAAGGGACAGTCCAGCTGCAGAGAAAACTCATTTCTACCACCTGTATCTGCTGCCTTGTTTCGGTCACCACCAGAGTCTGTAACCATAGGTGAGGGTAGGAACATAGACGACCAGTAAACAGATCTACGCCTTGTAGCTCAGCTCCCTCTTCATCACAATGGACTGGCACATAGTACACAATACTGACGCACCGATCCGTTTGTCAACCTCTGATGATTTAAGCTGACTACATTTACAGACGATTCAGTTGTTCGTAAGCAAATCAAGGGTTGATGTTGAGCACGTTTCTTTAAAGAAGGCTTGAAAAGCCTGGAACTCAAATAGTTTACAGGTCTGCATAAGGATGATTAAACAATTAGGAAAACTTCTGTTTTCTGCATATTCCCCATCTCCCTTTTCAAAGTAAAAAATAATGTTCTACTCGTGCAACATTTTTCAGTCAGGTCATCTGGACATTTTCTTTTTTTGTGCTGAAACGTTTCGCCTTCGATCCAGAAGGCTTCATCAGTCAAGGAAACGCACAACAAAACTGATTCTTCCCCCAACAGCTGACTCCTGGTTTGTTCCACTTTGGAGTGAAACAAATACAATGGCTACTCTTAAAAAACATGACCCATGGCTAAAAGGAGCAAAAAAAGTTGACATTGATTAGAAAGAACAGCACTATGTGGAAAGAGCAAAAAGCTGAAATTAGCTGAAAGGAGCAGAAAAAAGCCGAAAGTAGCCGAAATTAGCACAAAGTAGCTGAAATGAGCAGTAGACGGTTTAAACAGCACAAAGTGTTTGTAGGCTGTGAAGAGCTACATGAGGAAAACATGTCCAAATGCTAAATATTAAGTTAAAACTACACTAATACCAAAAGTCACAACAGGAACGTCCTGTCTGCGCTGAGCAGTTTGATTTATGATTGTTGAAATGGCGCATAAATGTAAGAACGAGTTATGTGCTGAAAAACGTACAGAAGAGAAACATCTCAGTTGTGAACGATTTATAAACATTGAAACACACAAAAAACTAAAGTAGACCTGTGTAAATCTCAGTGATTTTTTCACTCCTATATAAGTCTGGGGCGGCTGTGGCTGAGTGGTTAGAGCAGTCGTCTTCCAATGCGAGAGTTGGGGGTTCAATTCCACCAGCAGTCACATGCTGAAGTGTCCCTGGGCAAGACACTGAACCCCTCATTGCCTCCAACGTGTGTGATAAAGCTCTGATTATTCTTTGTAGAGATCTAGTAGAGTGCTGTATGAATGGGTAAATGAGGCACGGATTGTTGTAAAGAGCTTTTATCTTGATAAGATAGGAAGGTGCTATAAAAGTACAGTCCATTTATCATTTAGTTGTATTTGTCAGACAGCCTACTTTTGCCAACAAAACATCTGATACTCCGGCTTTTGGTTTTGCCCTCGTCAGACTCGTCTGCTGCTGCTTGTTTCCAGGTTTCAGCGATGGAGCGAAGGAGAAGAAGTGCACAATCTGCTTCCAGATCTTCAGCAAAGAGGGCAAGCTGCAGAAACACCTCCGTGAGCACGAGCTCAATGATAAGGTACCATCAGCTTTGGAGCAGAAACACGGAGCTGTGGTTATTTGTTGGTGTTGGTCTTAAAGGTTCAGCTGAAGCTGATGCTCAGCTATTCCTGTTTCAGTACTTTTGATGACACGTTTCACATTTGCAAAGTGTTTGAGCTTCGAGTGTGGCTAATTGAATGTTTCGTATGACATTTTTCAGTTGGAGCTGAAGTTTCGTAGATCAGTTTTGTAAAATACAACAAAGGTGTGTAGTTTTATGGAGACGGGGAGTTTCCTCTGACTTTTACTTGAGCTGATGAGAAGGAAGAAGAAAAAAGCTGCAGAAAACAAAAATGTTTCAGCAGCTTGTTGGAAATAGGGCCAAGCAAATTGCTTTATAGTTAATGATGTGCTATGATCAGTTATGTTCTGATATTCAATTCAATTCAAAAAGACTTTATTAATCCCAGAGGGAAATTTGTGCAGTCATCTCAAAAGGTTCTAAAGGAGTCCCCAGAACTGAGCCAGCCTTCTTTATGAACTTGTTGATCTTTTTGTAAGTCACTTGCTCTGGTGCTGCTACCCCAGCAGATGATGGCAGAAGAGATAGCGCTCTCTACAACAGACTTATAGAAGATATGCAGCATCTTGCTGCAAACGTTGAAGGACTTCTGGTGCATTCACACCAGCCCTGTTTAGTCCGCTTTAATTGAACTCTAGTCCATTTGCCTAGAAAGTCTGGTTCATTTGGGGAGGTGTGAGTGATTGAACTCTGATACAGACCAAACAAGCAAACTCTGGTCCGCCTAAATATCTAGGTCTCGGTTCGGTTGAAGTGAACTCTGGCGCTCTTCGAATGCAGTGTGAATGCAATCAGATCAGAGACTGCTTCAAAAGCAAGAAGTGGAGTACAGCTGTGGAAAATAAATAATTGTTCTAAACTTAAATAAAAACTCTTAAAAGAAAACCAGAGACATCTCTCTTTTAGCTCAAAACGGAGCGCGAGGTTTATTCTTTCTGCAGAAAGGAGTTGCTGCCTGCGTGGTCAGAACACAGCACACTGGGTTCTTAAAGAGACAGTACATATTATTTATACATGTTTCGTGCGTCACAATAAAATTCTATCATAATGGGGAGGATAAGTTCCTCA